GTACATGGCCAAGGGTAGATGATTAGGAAAAATTAGAAGGCTAAGGACTGCACGAAAGAGTCCCTCCTTCCATATATATTCCCAAGTCTCAAAGACTTCCTGAATTAGGTGTTTTAACTACCATACTGTGCTTTTGATAGATAATACAATCTGAATAGATGTACTGAATCCCTTTTTGAATGTGTAGGCTGTTTGTTTGCTGTAGTGTCCAGTAAGATGTCTTAAGAGTTCTCCAATAAAGTACTGATAGAAAAACATAGGAAAGACTGTGCCATTTCCAATGCCTAGCCATTTCCAGTCTCTTCCTCTTCCTCCTTGGTGCATTTATGTAGCTCATGGGCACCCTATACAGATAATATGTTCTTTGATAATTTGTGCATTTGAAGGCGCTCCTAACAATTTACATCTTTTGTGTAACTCTTCTGTTACCTCATATGCGTGTAAGAACTCATCAGGAGACTTGCCCCAGCCTAACCATGAGACTGTCTCGTAGTACTGCTGTAAGACTCCTCCAAGCAGGGTGAGGGGGTGTGTTGAGGTCATGGGGATGATGGGAAGAATCAGTGGGGAATATCCAAAGGCAGAGATGGAGCTGTATAACTTAAAGCTCATGGCTGTGTGTTAAAAGGTGGCTTTGTTTTCACTCAGTGCATCTACAGGAGGATAGTTAAACAGCGGAAGTTGTTAAGTTGGTCTCTCAAACTTCAGCAGCAGAGTCACATAAGCTTAGTGCAGAGCTAACACCTTGCATGGTGCCATCTAGACATGTCCTTGTAGCCTATAAATTACACTTGATCATCACATATTTCCTTTGAGAAAAATAAAAGGCTGTACTTGATACTTGAAAACAAGTTTTTTTCCTCAGAACAACAACTATGGACAGAATTTAATGGGAAAGAAGACAGAAAAAACTTCAGGTTTGTATCTTTTAAGAGTGTTTACATGGATTTCATGCCTTAATACTTGAGTACTTGGTGTCCTCAATAGCTGTATTTCTATCAAAATTTTCTGCCTTCTTTCCAAGTCTGTCAGAAAAGCTTAATTCCTAGGAGTAGGATTATTTATAATGTTTCTCCTCACATTTTTGAAACTAGAAAAAAAACCAAAACCCACAACCAAAAAAAAACCAAACCCAAAAAACCATCTGCTAGGCTTTAGGATTTACAGTAGAACAGAAGAAATAATGGTAATAAATTTGCTTGAGCTTGTCATGATAATAATAATCACATTTCTGTAAAGCTTGGATTGAAGAAAATCCAACAATAACTGATTAAAATCTACCATACAAAAATTGCATCCACCCACTCCTTCCCACTGTTCCTCAGAGCATCACTCTGTTTATATTTTGAATGTCTATGGTATGGAGTTATTGAAACTAAATCAGGTTTAATAAAATGAGGTACTGTGGGATTTCTGTGAGGCTGAAGTTTAAGCTAACAGACTTGAATATTCAGCACCAAATATAGATCTTGCTTAAGTTAATACCAAAGGGACTGTTATTTAGCTTGCATTCTTTCTCTGGTCTATGCTAGAGAAAGTAATATCTCATCACCTCTAAGAAAGTCAAAGTTGTTCCAGAAGAGTGAGAGATTATTTGCAATGCTGGAAATTTTGTAGAGGTAGCTATTTTAAACAATAACATTCAACTTTTCTATATTGCTTCTCTCCCTCTTCCGGCAAGGACCTGTCTCTCTGCAGGATGGATTCTCAGCTGCAAAGCATACAGATCCTAATTGATGTGTATGTGAATATTCAAGGTTAACAAGAATGTATTCCCTGTGGGAGAAACAATCAGTACCATTCAGAATGTATTTCTTCCTCCTTCCTTGCTGTTGAAAATTTATCTGGTGAAACTACAGGGCCCTATTCTACTCACATGAACAAATCTAGTGTTTCTAATTGGGATTAGGTGAAGTATTTCTCCTCATGACTGGAGAGCCAGCAGGCAGGACAAATGAGTTTAAATATCTGCTCTAAACTGAGGAGAGAGAGTAAATTTAACTCTTTTTTTCCCCCTCCCACTTGATATTTGCTGTTTTTTCTATCCCTGTAGAGTGGATGGGTTTTGGGGCCCAAGATCAATGGCCCAAGCAGGTGTCCTGGGTCACAGCTTGACTGGAGAGTAGGAAAAGGAAGATTCATGGCTTTGGTTTTAAAGCAGGTTGTCCTCTTAGCCAGAGGTAAGTGCCTGTCTATTGCCAACTTTACTTAGAAACCTAAGGTTAGAAACTTAAGTACAACTTTTGTCTGTCCTCTTTATTTCATCTCTGATGGACTTAGGCAGACATTTGGCCTGTTTTGGGGCTATCCTTCCTATACAGATCCTATGCATTGCCTGAAAGGACGGTCACCTACAGGGACACAGGGACTGTGTGTTGGAGTAAGATGCACTGCAACAGCAGTGAAGTATTTATTCTGTATCTGAGTTGGGCAGCTGAGAGAGCCCAGCCCAGGAGCAAGCTGTGAAGCAGGTTCATTTTGCCTTTAAGCACATCTAGACAATATGTGCACAGCTCAGCAATTTGTTTGACACTGCCTTTTCTAATACAAGGAGCTTGAATTAAAAGGGGACACATGTATGGACCATCACCTGTCTTCATGCATGCCCAACCAGCATGGCCATGAATTTCTCATCCTTTGCAGCAACCTGGTCATTAATCTGTGCTTCCTAGGACAGAAGACCCTTCCTCAAGTTAGTCAGCAGTCTTTGCTGAAGCATGGGAAGGTAGGGAGCCTTTGGAGTGGCAGTTTCAAATGGCACCAGTCAGGGTGTACCCAGTGTTGCAAAACCAGTGGGGTTTCAGCCATTGAGTGGCTAGAGTATGGACTGAGAACATGTCAGGATGAAACCTGTACATACCCCAACTTCTCTATCCCCTGTGTGCCCTGGTTTCCACATTGAAGAAATGAAGGGTGACCTGCAATGCCCTCCAGCAGGGGTTAGTCACAGCACGGGATGTGCCAGAGCCCTGGGGGGGACAGTCTCCTAGGATGGTTACAGCCACAACTGTTCCCACTTATCCTGGGTGGGCTCCTCCAAAATGCAGAGTAACTGGCCATGGATGCAGAGACTTCAGAGATGCTCTGTGCAGCATGAGATAAGTCTTGGCAGGGCTGGTGCTTCGCCAGTGCTAAAAAAGGCTGATGGGTGCTGGTGACTGTATGCAGTCAGTACCCCTGTATCCTGCTGTCCAGCACACCTCTCAGTACCCACAGCCATCTGGCCTTTCATTATCCACTACTGTGTTGGTTTTGGCTGGGATAGAGTTAATTTTCTTCACAGTAGCTACTATGGGGCTCTGTTCTGGATTTGTGTTGAAAACAGCATCGATAACACAAGGATGTTTCAGCTACTGCTGAGCAGTGCTTACACAGAGTCAAGGCCTTTTCTGCTCCTCACCCCACATCACCAGCGAGCACACTAGGGGTGCACAAGAGGCTGGGAGGTGACACAGCTAGATCAGCTGACTGCAGCTGACCAAAGGGATATTCCATATCATATGATGTCATGCCCAGCATATAAAGCTGGGGGAAGAAGAACGAAGGGGATGAAATTTAGAGTGATGGTGTTTGTCTTCCCAAGTAACCATTACGTGTGATGGAACCCTGCTATCCTGGGTATAGCTGAAAGCCTGCCTGCCGTTGGGAAGAGGTGAATGAATTCCTTGTTTTGCTTTGCTTGCATGTGGGGCGTTTGCTTCAGATATTAAACTGTGTTTATCTCAATCCACAAGTTTTCTCACTTTTACTCTTCTGATTCTTTCACCATCCCATCAGGGGATGGGGGACCAAGGGGCTGGGGGGAGAGGAGCAAGTGGGAGGGGAGCAAGTGGCTGTGCCATGCTTAGTTGCTGGCTGGGATTGAACTGTGACAGTCTTTTATGGTGCCCAGTGTTGTAGAGAAACAGTCGGGAAAAGAGGCAGTATGAAAACCTGAACAAGTCCTTGGCTTAATGTAAGCATTGCTTGGCAACAACTAAATCATTGGTCTTATCAACATTATTCGCAGCATAAATCCAAAATGGAGCCCCATACTTGCTACTATGAAGAAAATTAAATCAATTGCAGCCAAAACGAGCACAAGTATGTCCCAGCAGTCCCAGATAAAGACATTGATTCTGTGCTGCTGTGTTGATTCAGTTCCCAAACAGCTGGCTGAGGTAAAAAACTGGGTTAAGCATTTAGACATTGACCATTCTTGGATTAGACCAGGGTCCTATCACTTTTTAATCTCTCCTTTGATAAGAATGATGAATCGCAGTTTTAAAATTCCCTGCAGCATAGATTTTCAATACTTTCCCCCCTACTCCCTGGAAATGTTTTTTCTTTCTACAGAACATCCAGGATGAATACAGGGTTCTGTGAATCATATCATTCATGCTTCATGCAGAGGTAATGTTGCTACATTACTTATCTATTTTATTGACCTATTTACATAGCCAAGGGTGGTGCTGCAAACTGCTATTCAATTGGTGATATTCTGATCTCCTGAGATAAGTGAAATACAAACTAATTTTAAGAGTTAAACATTGAAGAGATACCATCAGTTTTTAAAAGTCACATTCCCACTTGGGTCTTTATCATAATCATCATAATATGGGATCACCATAATGATAAAAATAAGGAAGATAATTGTTTTTCCTTAGTCTGGGGTTTTGGAAGGTATTTTTTTAAATTATTTTGCACTGGACAGAATTTATATATTTGTATATGGTCTGTGCCTCTGCTTGCTGTTTAGAAGCAGTTTCTTCCCAGAAAATATGTAAACCTAGGTCTGCTTAACAGCAAAAGCACATCACAGATGAAATTTTGGGGCAGTGGCTGGAAAGTAGATGCAGGGATAGGGTGGAGGACTGAACCTTGGGTCCACCCCTTTCTGCTTACTGCCATTCCACACTTGTCCCCTTTCTGCTTACTGCCATTCCACGCTTGCCATTTCATTCTCTCCTTTTCAGGAGAAACTATCGAACTTAAAAGGAAGGCTTCGCGTTTCCATAGTCATGGCACTCTTCTCTTCCCTAACTCCCATCTTTATTGCCGTTATATGTGTTTTGATTGGGGTAATACTGAAGAAGACTAACGGAGAGAAGGAAAAACGTGAGACTAAAAGCAAGCTTCTATCTCGCCCATGGGTGGATGAAGATTTGAAAGATGGTACTGACCACCACTTAGAGGAAGAAGGTAAGAAAAATCTTATCCATCTGAGCAAATTTGTTGTTTGAATTTGATCTGCTGATATGGATAAAGGACATACGATCTTCTTGAGTTTTCCACAGTGATAGAAAAGCATAGTGCTACACTGCTGCTGTGCCCTGAGCTTGCCAGCTCCATGGAAGGAGGCTCTCCTGATGTCATGTCACTAGGGGTAAATCTCTATTTCTTCCAGATCCCACAGGTCAGAGAGCAAAAAGAAAGTGCATTTTCAAAGACCCTTGTCTGTCCCTCTGCACAGCGGATCTCAGACCTATGAGGGACGGTGGGGAATGTAGGAAGAAAGGAGATACTACTGAAGTCTCCCTGACCTCTTCCCATGTCTCGTTAGTGTGAGCAAAGGGAAGACACTAGAGTTTCTACATGCAGGTTGATTTTGTAGACTTCTCGTCCTGTTTTACCATCCAATGCTACATATTTGATCTCAGCACCTCCAGAAGAGTTGGAAATGGGTTTATTGCAGTTATTACAAAAGTCCTCCATTTGTGACTTCTGAGGATATCCATGAGAGCTTTAGCTGAATTAGCACTGGGATCATAGTATCTGGGAGACATTTTGATCAAATCTTTAAGAAAAAAAATGTGATGCTACTAATCTCTGTTCACTCAACTACATTTTCGAACCTGTACAGAATGCGTCCCGCTCCACTCCCCCCGTTTTTGATTTTGGGTTTTGTTTTTTTTTTGCTGTAGTGATTTCTGCTGCAAAGCTTGGGCAAAAGTCTGAGGAAAAAATGAGCACTTCCTTCTGACTACCTTCCATAAGTTCCCTTCATTTCTTTGTGAAATAAAAATCTACAGAGTTCTGTTCCTTTGAAGTTTAACTTCCAGTCAATACGGCCCTTGTTT